GTAGCTTTCTTTAGTGAAAAGACGACCACATGACCCGAAAACAAAGAAATGGACGAGAGAAGTGAAAAATTACCCATTTTTCCTCACACATATAGATGTGTGCGTTTGTGTATACGTATAACACGTTAATAAGCATATGAATATGTTCTTACGGTTCAAGTTGCGACAAGAAAAACATCTGACGTCTACTGAGACCAAATATTTACCTATAAAGTCCAAACCAAAAACAAAACGGCTCTTTCGTATTTTTGCTCTCAATTCGTTGCATTTGTTCGCCACGTCACATTTATTTATATTAATTTTTTTGGTAAAATTATTTATATGAATTATCTTATAATTTATAGCATTATAGTTTTTACGAAAATAAACTTCTCCCATTATAATTTTGTTATGTCCCATTCTTACACGGATATGGTATATAATATTATTCACATTTGTGTCATTTTCACTGTGGACTTACGCGGAAAGACTATGAGAATACTAAATAAATATCCCCAATAGAAAAATATGTAACATTTAATAAGATGCAAATTGTTATTGATTTGATACATTGACAATGTCTTTGTATTTCGTAAAAGAAATATTAGAATGATAATTAATTATTGTCGTTGAATATGGATCATGCATTTTGCATGAAATTTCTGAAAATGGTATCAATATGGAATAAAACATATTCATTATTGCAATATGCACAAGTTTTGATAAATGTGTGTGAAATCCATTATATACAAGGAAAATATCATGAGATGAATGGTTTAGTGCTATAATATATAGAAATAAAATTAATCTTCATTATCTATATTAATAAAATCACAGTATTAGATAACATCACTTCTATATTTTTATATCTATTTTGGTATACATTGTCTTATGACTTTATATATAGTAAACTATATGTTACAAACTCACAATTATATTTTTGGATTTAAATTTTATGAACAATTTCTATGACATATATATATATATATATAACAACTAGGATGCCGAGACAAATAGATAATTTAAATATTTGCATTCGTTATTTCTGATAACAAATGAAAGATAGGATATGAATTCATCAACACTATGACTTTGCATTATACGAATAAAAAATTCAGTGGACTTTGCCAAGTCTTAATATGGTTTAAGTCAAAAACTTTGAATTACATGGGATATTATGTATATGTTATAAAGTCAACTAATATATAATCCAATCGTAGAAACCAAGATGCTGGCGATTTGTATTCACAACATCGATGATATCCTTTAAATATATATCTAATTTCATGTTCATTATGTTGAACGTGACAGAACACAAAACTCACTAATTTCATGTGTCAAACATAGTTTTCAAACCCAACTTCAGATTTATAAATTGTAGGTCGAGGTTGTATCCAAATTTCTTAATTTAACAATCAATATTGACGGATAGCCAACTCAATTACAAATATTTCATTTATATTTATTATAATTTATAAAATGATCCTTATTCTATTTTTGAAAAGTGCAAAGCTATCATTGTTTTTTTTTAAATATATAAAATATCACTTAATATTTATAATACCTATAAAATTACCCTTAATTTACAAAATTTGTATTCGCATATCTATATATGGACACCCAAATAGTTTTTCGAATATCTGAAGCTTGGATATCAATTTTTTTATATAAATGAAATTGGATACAAAAAATCCTAGAGTGCCCACTAATTTCATATCATAATATCTGAAATATTCGGATATGGTCCGGATTGCTTAGAGCCTCTATTTAGCCTAGTAGTCTGATCTTAAAAATGAATTTGATATGAGATTTGAGATGCGATTTTCCAAACTTATAATCGGGTGTCTTCTCTTTTGTTGCTACTATTATAAATATGCATATATAGTTAAATGATATTACAAACTTATATCATATCAATCACATATGATACCTTTGATTTATTAGAATCACACAATTTTTACATTTAGAGAATGAACCTTATAGAACATAAAAAATAAAACTTATTTAAGAAAATTATAATGTTTCAAAAGTCCATATATATATATATATTCAAATTAGATCAAATATAAATTCGAATACAAACAGAGTACTCAAGATTCAAATAAATGAGAATTCGTGTTTGTGTTATGTGGCTCTTTTGTTTATGTTTAAACTCTGATGACATTGAAGTTAGTCACGGTTTACTTAAACCACTTTTGACCGGCATGCTGTTTCACGGTAGAAATAGAAAACGATACGGAGTTAACCTTTAAACCCTCGTAAATGACTAACCGGATGTACTGGCAGAATGTGGATCCACATGCTGGCATGGCAACGTATCCTCATGGTATATTCAAGGGTTCGTTCCCCTCCTTTCCCATCAAATAATTGATTTACTAATTCACACTCTTAAACTCTCATAATTAGTATGTCGCATTTGGTATTTGTTTTCTAATAAAAGCGTCGCACTAATGAAAATTAGATGCCCTAATAAATGCATCGCACGGGTCTCTTCAATTATTGTTCTATTATATATATATATATATATATATATATATGTGTAATATATATATATGTGTGTGTGTGTGTGTGTTCGATTGTGTGTCAAGAGAGCTTGTTTTGGTGTGTGTGTATATATATATGTATAAACATATCAAAAGATTGGGCCGTGGGCTTGCTTTACAGGATTTGTAATTGGGCTTCGTTTTCAAAGCCTCGTTCCAAAGGTCCTAATTCCTAAATACAATAATAATAGATATAATGATATATCTTACCATTTATACGGGCTATTGCCAAAAAAACATCAATTGTGTATTTGAAAAATAAATACACAAACTTTTATTTTGATAATAAAATACACAAACTTTTAGAATAATGGCAAAAAAAAAACATGAACATTTTTTATTTGGCAAATAAATACACAAACTTTTATTTTGATAATAAAATACACAAACTTTTATATTTTTAGCACAAACCTTCACGAACAATAACGACATCAAAAAAAATAACGGAACCATCAACACTTCATCTATATTTGTGAATATCTGTATCCGATATAAAAATTATAAAATTTTAAATTAAAATTAAAAAACAATTTTAAATATAAATAAATTATATAGGTCATTTATATTCAAATTTTAAAATTTAAATATTTAAAATCAATATAAATATAAATATGATCATAATCTATCATATACAATTATATAGGTCATTTATATTCAAAATTTAAAATTTAAATATTTAAAATCAATATAAATATAAATATAATCATAATCTATCATATACAAATGTATTCAAAGTTTAAACATTCTAAATCTCAATTATATAAAAGTTTAAACAAATATAGATGACGTGTTGATGGTTCCGTTATTTTTTACGTCGTTATTGTTCATGGAGATTTGCGCTAAAAATATAAAAGTTTGTGTATTTTATTACCAAAATAAAAGTTTGTGTATTTATTTGCCAAATAAAAAAAGTTCATTTTGTTTTTCTGCCATTATTCCAAAAGTTTGTGTATTTTATTACCAAAATAAAAGTTTGTGTATTTATTTGCCAAATACACAAAGTTATGTTTTTTTTTTGCTATTACCCCTTTATATAATAAAATCACATAATTATTGGCTTTCCTTGATAGGTGATATTTTTAATTTAAAATGAATTTTTAGAGAACACTGAAAGCAGATGTGGAAGATATATTTTTAAATGAGACAATTTTAATGAAATTACAAACCTATTTTACTCTCAATAAAAAAAAAGACAATTATGTTTATATTCCGATTTGTTGGGCTTACGAAGCCCACTAAAACTTTTCAGAAAATTAAATTAAGAACTAAAATATACATCTTAAAATTAGAATTCCTCGTTAACAAAAAAAAAAAAAAAAAAAAAAAAAAAAAAAAAAAATAAAAAAAAAAAAGGGAAAGGAAAGAGAGAAGGATCTTCTCTGAGTCACCGCGTCGTAGATTACTCAGAAAGGTCGTGAGTTTATCTTTGCTTGAAAGGCGAGAAAAGGGAACAAACGGAGTTTTCGGTTGCGCAGGATTCTTTGTTCGATCGGCGAATTCTTCCAGCGATGTTCAATTTCTGGTACCATCATCTATCTCTGTGATCAATGGACGTTTTAGGCTTTCGAAATTCTACTAATTTTTGGTCCTACGATTCGCATGTTCGATCTGTTTTTTTTTTCAATTTTGTTTCTAATTATATGAATTTGGATGTTTTTCTTTGGGGATTTTGGAGTTCTGTGTTCTGGGTGAACGTCTCTTCTGGAATTAAGAACTGTAGACGTCGATTGCTATTGATCGATGTGTTCGTAAAAGTTGAGTTCAATCGGTGTGTTTAGGATCGAAGAAGCGAATTCAGAAGCAAAACGTGAATGCCGTAAACGTCCTCTAGGTGTAAATTATTTTGTTTCAATCACAGTGGCTGACTTTAGGGTTTATAGTTACTGTTGTTGGTTTAGAAATGTAACGGCTGATGATGTTTCTATGAGAGGTTTTAGGTGAATCCATATTCTGAAGGAGATTGGTGATTTGGTTATTCTCTCGCGTATTCGAACTGTAGTTTTTGATGATTGTTTGTTACTCGGAGAAGAAGTATTGTCTGTTTGAACTGATTGAATCTGTTGGTTGTGTCCTTAAGACACTATAACTCTACTTGTCATGTTTCTGTAATTTAGGTTTGCGGTATCCGTTTGATACTTTGTTCAATCGACGAATTCCAATTCTTTCTTTTCAACTTTCATTGCACTTGTGTCTCATGAATCTATTTTTAAGAAAGAATAAACAAACTGAACAGAATCAAATTAAAACTGAACCGAACCAAATTGATTTTTAGTTTGGTTCATGCAGAATGATCGTAAAGCCTATGGAAGATAATATATCGGATCATTATGTATCATATCAGAAACCCGATTGAAAGTTATGTTCAGATTTTTTTTTCAATTGTATTTAGTGTGAGATGTTTTGCGAGTCCAGGGGCTCAAAGGATCAACAAGGGCAGTCTCGCCCTTCTGAATCTTCTTCCCAGCCATGGTATTCTCCATCTCTTGTCAGTTCACCGAGCTCGTCCCGGCCTCCAACATCGAGCCAGATCCCGTCTCATGTTTCCCCGGGGGAAGCTGCTGGTATTATCACTGTCTTGAAAGATAAAAGGTTAACTTTCTTGTCTCGTCTTGTCTGCTTATATTTCTCAGTTTCTCTAGTCCTGGCATGTATTATAGCTGTTAGTGGTTTTTTAATGGTCTCTCTCTCTCTCTCTCTATATATATATATATATATTTGTTTCTCCTTCAATTATTTCGTAGTGTGGATGAACTAAGGAAGCTACTCACTGACAAGGATGCGTATCAGCATTTTCTGCTCTCGCTAGACCAGGTCAAAATTCAGAACAATGTAAGTTAAAGATAATGGTTCTTGTTGCTATAAAACAAGTTATATTTGTTTATCTCGAAAATGTAGCTTCATGATTGCACTGTGTATTGAGATGATTTGTTGCGGTTTTTATGCTATAGACATTGTTATGGCTTGATGTTGGTTATATTCACAAGAATTTTGTGTTTCTTTTTATCTCCTACTGTGTTTGGAAATCTGAAAAGAACTAAATCGTATTGATTTTACTTCTTTGTTGTTACCCATCAGATCAGAGACGAGCTTCGCAAGGAAACATTGCAGCTTGCTAGTGAGTTGTTGTAGCCTAACTTAAGCATTCCCTTTGTGCAAAAAATTAAAATTTACCACAAAAATTCTGTTAATGTGGAGGTGTAAGTAAATTGACATGTTCACTGAACAGGAGAGAACTTGGACAAGGAGCCACAGATAATGGAGCTCAGGAACCAAGTGGGTAATCGAGAAAACTTTTCTCGAGAGTCCTCTTTCCTTATTAGCAATCGGGTTATAGAATCTCTTACCATCTTTAAATTTGTTTTGCAGTGTCGAATAATCCGTACAACCGAGCTTGCTGCTGCTCAGGAGAAGCTAAGTGAGCTCGAGAGGCAAAAAGAAGAGATCCTTAAGTTCTACTCACCTGGTTCTCTGCTTCATAGACTTCAAGGTACATACAATACTACGTTTTTATCGCCTGGTGAATGATATCACTACGGGTGGGTGTGGGTTAGATACCCGGCCTCGGCCTCATGCCCAACGGTTTCACAACGTCACCTTCACCGGTACTCGGATACCGAATCTGCGAATTGCAAAATTTTGTTGATATGAGTTGATTTTAGGGGGAAAAAATCTACCTAGTTATTATTGTAAATACACTAAAATATCAGGGATATAAACATCATTATACTCGTATCCCGTACATAACTTCGTTTGGAAAAATCCGAACCTGAACCCCAGTCCGCGTTCATCGCCTCATCACACCCGTCTTCGGCATTGTTGGTGGCCGTGTACGAGCATCTCGGGTACCCAAAAACCCATGGGTGAACTTGAACCCGCAAATATCTGCAAAATTTTGTTGACCTGAGTTGACTTTAGGAGTATAATGGTAATTTTAGGTGAAAATCTACCTGGGTGTTATTGCAAGTACACTACAATATCACGGGATCTAAACATTATTTTACTCATATCCGGTATGGTGGGTAACCCGTCGTTCGGAAAAATCCGAACCTAAACCCGCAGTCCGGGTTTCTCGCTTCGTCCCACCCGCCTTTGTCATTGTTGGTGGCCATGTCTCTGGTTTAAACACCCCCCTCCCCCTAGATTTTCACGTTCTCGTTTCTGTTTATGTGCAGATGCTATGAACAAGGCGGAAGAGGAATCCGAGATCTTGCACCAGAAATTCCTGGAGAAGGAGATCGATACGGCGGCTTTCGTGCAGAAATACAAGAAACTACGTTCCACCTATCATCGTCGTGCATTGATTCATCTCTCTGCTAAGACCTCCTCGATGATGTGAAATGAAATGAAAGAAATGAAACAGAACAAAACAAAACTAAACTTGCTTTTACTGCTTTGGGTTGAGACATTCCTTCCATGTAGCTCTGTCTTTGTTTTGTATATGTGATAATGCTGAGATTTTGTCATTTATTTTATCTTTGATTTGAACCCTAAAATGGTCAATTGTTTTTATATATTGTATTTTTCACGTGCTGTATTCAAATTAATACGATTCTACTTACATCACGATTTTGTAATCTCGGTGGTTTTCATTAAAATGATAAGAGTTATAAGAGTCGATGGTTTTCGTTATTTGAGAGACATCCATAAAAAGAACCATTTGAAAATTGAAACTGACGCTTAAAAAATAAACCAATCGGAACTAAAGTGAATCGAATTGAACCCAATCGGTTCAATTTAAAAATCGAAAATTTTATGTGAATCATATGGAAGAACAAACTAGGGTCTTTGGGAGCAAAGAATATATGGTATAATAATGATCACAACAATAAAAATATTTAGTGGCGATGTCAATTTTATTTTATTTTATGTATTTTGATTAGAGATTTAGATTGTTATTGAAAATTTAGAGATAATATTAATTTTATAATAGCATCTAATATTTCGTATTTTATTTTTATAAGATGCTTAAGTGAAGAATCATCAAAACTGTTTGATTAAAATTAAATTAATCTAAATTGTCTCCATCAAACTGCTTGGGCTTTTTCATATTAATGGGCCTAAGACCAATATATTGTAGGCCTTGTTGGATCTTATTGAGCCCAACAACGTTAAACTACCAAAACGCTGCCGTTTTGTTCACCTTCTTCGTTATCCACAAAATGCCGCGCGTACACGTCGTCAGCCTTTTTTTTTTTTTTTTTTTTTTTTTTTTTTT